AATTATTAAATTGCACAATGGTGGTAGACCTACATAACAAAACAGGTAGGGAAAGGGAAGAAGGCCATACTCATAGGTGTAGCTATTAAAAGGGGATGAAAAGAAAATATAGAAGGGAAAAGAATGAGAGAAAGATTAGTGGCAGGGGCCAAGAGGATGAAGATATTGAAGAGTAAGGGGAAGGGAGGTCCTGAGCTGCATTGGAGACTTAAACTAAAACAAATTATAGAATATGTATTTGGTATTTTGTAGATACATATTTATACCTGTTGTTAAACATAAGATTCATGGCAGATAATGGAGTACACAAAATAAAGTATAGTGAAATAACCAACAATTACCTTAATATTGGGCTATAATATTGCTAATTAAAATACTTTCTATCAATCATTTAATTAGCCAGATTATAGCCTGATATTTAAGGCAATCATTGGTTATTTCTGTATAAGCATCGGGCTTTGTATTTTTTATTATTTAAAGTATAGTGATTACAAGATTGTTAATTAAAATACAGAGAAATAGAGGTAAACTTATTTATACAAGAGATGATTATGTAATATTTACAGGTATGGATAACAAAGAAAATGCACAAACGTACAGTAGGCCCAAAAAAAAACCTGTGCAGTGGATACATTGAAACCAAAACACAATATAACAACTCGGTAAAATATGAACATTAGTAGATGGATATAAACAGTAAACTTCTATCTTGAAATGTATTTGTAAACTACATTGCAGATATCATGGAAGAGCAGTATTAAACAGTAGACACACAAACACACAACAATTGTGCATGAAGCAGAACAGCACTTAGAGTTGATAAGAAGAGTGATAGAGCCTAATCCAATATATTAATGTTCTTTGCAAAATCTCTAAGAGCCTTGACTGTTCTTGTCACTAGTCAGTCCATTGAACTTGCAAGGCCAATGAAGTCCTGCACTGTATATGATGTCTGCTAGAGTTTTCCTTTGCATGCTGTGAAGAGGACAGTTGAAGAGAATGCGCATAGTATCTTCTTCCTTGTTCAAATTGCATGGGCAGAGTCCATCAGTTTATTCAGGAACCTCTTAAGATGGGTCCTAAGTAGGGTGTTTCATTTTCTGGTCTTTTGCTTGTACCAGGATTTCAGGAAAAAAGTGAACTGGTTCCTGGGATAGAATTAATTATTTTAAACATATACAAAATATCTTGAAATCAAATGATATAATTATTTTTCATTTTTTAAAGTAATTTAATACATTCTGCAACCAAAATCATATTAATAATGCTGTGTAAGATATATATTAAAAATTACCTTTGAATTACATAGAAATTTTCATAAGTAGAAAAAATTTAGTAAAGTTTGCTGGAAACAGCATGCAACAACAAAAATATGCTTTGAATTGAGTTGAAAATTAGAAGTTTGATCTAAGTTCATTTTTTTTTAACTTAAAAGGTAATTTTTGTTTTTTAAGTAAAACATAATACAAAATATTATTGTAAATTATTAAAGATTTTAAAAAGCAAAGATGGTCAATATGCCAATCACTCAATCTGATTCTTATTTTACTAAAGAAAAGTCCTGCTACCAAGAATACCCTTTTTGATTCAATTCATGTGAGTGGAATCATCTTTAATGCATTTAAGAGAAGACAGATGTGTTTTTCACCTGTAGCCTGGAAGATTTCTAGTTCGTTTTCGAGATTGTAGTACTTTTTTTTTACTCTCTAGTATTCTTGATTTGTCTACTTTGGCTACTTTAATAGAAACATCAAGCTTATAGCCCTATAATTCAGCAATTCATTTGTCTTTAATAATCAGTTTATAAAGAAAAAATGTCATACTTGCAGACTTTGTACTTGTATCCTTGTCCAATTTGCACAACCTGGCATTATGCAGTTATTGAAGCTACTGGGTATGGTTAAAAATTAAGACATCATAAGTACAATTATTACATTACAGGTTCTGATAAGTAAAAAATTTTCAGAGTCCTGCCACAAATAAGCTATGTATTGATTATTGGCCATTTGTGACATGCCATAATGAGCAAAAATTTAAAAAATCTAATAAGTAGGTTTAAAATTAATAAATACAAATGCATTCTGACAGTTTGAGTTAATTATACTTTCTATTTGCAAAATTTCCTCAACCTTAACACAAAATAAGAAAGTGAACTTTTAAGAAATTTGGGGGATTTCTTGGGATATTTCCCAGATTAAAAAACAACCAGGATCCCGTTTGAGAAATCCTAGTCCTAAGGTTTCCATGGCCGGTAACCAATTGGGTGAGTTGAAAGGAGACCATTTAACAGGCAGTGTTATTCCTGTCGTCAGCATCCAGGAAGAAGTCGTGAGTAATCCTACCTGTGTTTGATTTGTCCCATCTGGTCTGCCAGTATGTTTGGATTATCTGTGCATCTTTTGTTGGATCCAACTGGGAGAGATCCTGATATAACTGTCACTTTGAAGTCTTTGAGGGGCCTTCCATGCAAGGAGGTTGGCCCTATTGTTTCCTTGCTCATTGGAGTCCCCCTTGATTTATTGGATGGTGATGTTGATTTGGTTGTTAAGGGCCTGAAAACTCTTAACACTGTCATGGACAATAGGTAAGTTGGTGTTAGCCTTCAGAATCTGATGGATTGCAGTACTGCTGACACCACTGTAAATGTGATTGATAATTTCATTCCTTATAGATATGGTGGTTATCACGAATCCAGGCAATGGCCTGATGGATGGCAAGTGACTCTGCCTGGTTAATTGAATAGTGATTGGCCAATTTCAGATATTTCTGATGTAGACAGGAAGAGTTCTTGAATACAACAAATGCACATTTGACTCCAGAGTCAGATTTGGAGCCGTCTGCATAAATCTTGATGCCTCGTGAATCAGTTGTGTTGTCGATGGAGTTCCTGATGATGATCCCTGGGTAGATACTGTAATGCCTCGGATAGTTATCAGCTTCCTTTGAAAGGATGAAGTTAGCTCAGGGGTGGACAACAGATTTTGCCCCTGGGCCGAATTAGAAAAAAAACTTTTTTCATGGGCTGAACCAGAGGTTGCCCTAGGAAGATTTTGAGGTGGTGCGAGATCTTATTGTGATGTCACCCCTTAGAAACTAAATTGTACATAGAGAATACAGATACATTTTTCACATTATCATGCTTTATCAACATTCTACACTGTACTTAAGAGAATTTGTAATGGAGGGTTAACTTGAAACACAGTGAGTTGTTGACACTTTTTTTTAGGCGTCAGAAGTTTTTATCGAGCTATTCAGACTTCAATAGCTAATATTGAAAGATTAATCGCGGGTCGGATAAATTCATTAGACAGGTAGTATGTTGGCCATGCCTGATTTAGCTAGTTTAAGCTTAAGATTAGAACATTTAAGAAAGTGAATTAAATACATGTTTTGTATTATTATTCTTGAGAAAATTTTCTTGAAAATGTTAAATATAAATTATTGATATCTATTTGATTATTGATTATTAATCAAATATTTGATTAAATGATTGAACAAATTATTGATTTCTATTTAGAATAATTTCTATGATGATATTGAAAATTTCTACATGGAAATACAGTTGAATCTGTCTATCTGAAACGTGTTTATCTTGAAAACTTCTAGCTCAAAATTTATTTTTTTCCCTGTATTTTCAGCCCAAATGCAATATATTATGTATGTTTTTCTCCCAAAATTTCTATTTCAAATCATGAACTGAAGTGTCAATTACAATTAATAATGCAATTATTAATTGTAATTGACACTTGCAATATAATATAATGCAATTATGTATTGTATTGCAAGAGGTGTTTCTCTACTACAATTTATACTGTCAAAATGTAGTCATTAAGCTTTGAATTTGCAATAATAATTGCAAATTCCCTACATAATAATTGCATTATTGCAATTATTTATTGTATTGCAATTTTCCTCTGCTTGGCTACAAGTTTAGCTTGCATCTTATTGGTTGAAGAAAGTTAGGCATCAGAAACTATTGACAAACTATTTTTTTATTAAGATACGTCAAAAATGTTTTATTTACAGTACATACCTGTATTAAGTATAATACTATTCTAATAATAAAATATTGTACCTTCAATCAAACCTATTACTGTTTATTGTGTAGGAACCTCTATCTCAACCTGTTTCTCTAATTTTTTTTCTTGTTCCTATGAGATTTGAGATACAGGTTCAACTATACAGTAGAGCGTCGTTTATCCGAATCAATTGGGGACTGGGGTGGTTCGGATAACGAATCATGTACGAAAAAATATATTAATTTATCCCGTGTTGAAATTTCTCTCCGTTGCGTGTCGCTTTGCGTTGAATTTTCGTCGATGTTAAGCCTAACGAAGACTATTGTATCGTTAAAAATTATTTTTTAATTTTGTACAAACAAAATAAATTTATTGAAAAATATAAAAACAATAAAAAATTATACTTCAGATGTTAATTTAGTATCAAAAACGTAAAATATTTGAGTAGCCCGAGAAATAGCCGAAGATTGCAGCGCCACAGCACTAGCGAAAATTTAAATTTGCCGACTGGAATGCTTTCGGATAACGGACGTTTCGGATAACCAGCTTTCGGATAAACGACGCTCTACTGTAGTTTGAAATCAATTTGTAAAATGTCTATAGATATTACTTTAATATTTTGATTTCCAAAATAATTTACCAAAAATTGTTCTATGATTTGCTATTATAGAAGGCATGCCATCTTCTGTTAATAACTTAAATGATTTAATGTAATTCAGTTTAATTACATAAATACAGCAGGATCTTGTTTTACATGGGATTAATTTTAGCAAATAGATTAACTCTTGTGTGCACAGAGAACTCTATTAATCAGATGCTACTTTTTTGATGAAATTCATTGTGGTATAAAAACTAAAAGCAATTTTCTACAGCCTATCTTAATCAGAAGTTTATAATTCAAATGTTTAATAGTTGATAATAGTAAACCCATACAAATTGAAATTATTTATTATTAACTCTAAAATGTAATTTCAATTTTAGGTATAAATGTTGGAGTATTTTATGCCATTTCAACGTTACTTAATCAAGTAGTTCTTATTCATTTTCCGGTAAGTGTTGGTTTTTTAGAAATTGGTTATCAATAATAATATTAATCATCTAAATGAAATTGTATTTGATCAACAAAATTAAGTATCAAATTTTAGTTTAACCATATATTACACTTATAAATTTTTATAACAATATTCTATTTTTTTTCTCTTGTTTGTCATAAATCCTAGTATACCAAATTCTCTCACATTCTCTTCAGATAATTCACATAGAAAAATCTTTACAATTTTATATTTTTTTATTATAAGTGATTTTTAATTACAGTAGTGGCAATGGAAATTGCACTACCTATGATATAGACCAAAAATTATTCAACAAATGTACAAAATAGTGCATTTAATCTAATATTACAGTTTATGATGGTAACATATGTAAGACAGAGGAGAAACTAAGAAGAATAAATCAAAACAAATGCAATTTATTACATATAATACTACATCAAATGTAAAAATGCTATTCCATATTCAGGGGCGCCACTAGCTGTTTGATTGCCTGTGTGCAATACCGATTATTCTGCCCCCTGTTTAACTACGACTACCTACGCTGAGCTTGTTGGAAAGGCTCTTTAGGATTGTCATAAGGGTGTGAAAAGAAAAGAAATACTTTACAAAGAAAAACTATTTATTATTACTAAGTATTATTATTTTTGTTTACTTAAGTGTGAAACCACATAAATATTTATCTACAGAAATTGAACTCTTCTGTTTCTGTATTGTGAGTAAAAACATAAATATAGCAAAATGGTAATAAACAAAACTACAAAACTTCGAGTAATGCTCTCCAAACATGTGACATGACTACAGAAACTTCAAAGTTAATTGCATATCCTTTCTTACTAGCTTTGGAAATATTAGGAAACTCTTGAAATTTATGAGAGATCCACAATTTAAAGGTTCTGCAGTCATGTCACATGCTTGGAGAGCACTACTTGAAGTTTTTTTTTGTTTATTAACATTTTGCTATATTGCTATATTTGTTCTTACTCACAATATTTGTATATATTGCTGTATTTATTAATTTAATTTGTATTTAATATTTTTCTTGTTAATTATTTATTCCTGTTTTCTATGTTTTATTTAATATATTTTATGCTTTTGCACATGTGACACACTATGTAAATTTGTAATTTTCAAATGTTTTTAATTTCAAATATGATTCCTGTTCCATTCATTAGTTCCATTATAGAACCTGAAGATGGCAATTCAACATGGTTGAAAATATTCATTCTGTTAAATCCAGTAAAAATAAAATAATTCCTCAATAAACCTTTAACCTGTGGTAAATATGAGTACTACTACACGCAAATGTTTTCGGATCCCACCCTGGGTCCTTTCTCAAGCATTGATTCGTCAGTAAAATTCGTTAAAACGAAGACCAGCAGAACGAAATTCTTCTAAATTGCGACATTTGAAAACAAATTCTTTAGAACCATAATTAAAACATCGAAATTCAAAAAAACCATAGTGAATCACGTGCATTCCTGTATTCTCAATCAAAAGTCATTACGTAATGTTCGGTTTTTTTTTATAACGGCGTTTTATGCATTTTTGATTAAATAAAAATAAAAGATCATATCAGCGGGTTTGATGTTTTAATACCCTAATTATTCTACGTATTTATTAATGTGAATCCTCCTTTTGGAGTAGGGCCTGCCACGCTAGAGACAGGGTAATTTCATCCCTCGAATTGATGGGTGCAGAATTGTTGTATGCTTTGCATATTTCCATTTGTTCCACCCACTTGAGGTGGTCCGTAAACGGTGTGGTAATAAGGAGTTTGGCGTTGTCGAAGTCCACAGAGATCTTCGGGTCCGGAGCATACAAAGATAACGATGTAGAACCTCTGTTGTGTAGGATGTCCCGTTGGTGCTCAGTCCATCTGACACCAATAGCACGTTTAGTAGCGCCAACGTAGACCAATTTCCTATCAAATCTGTGGTCCGTGAGGCGGACAGCGTACACCCCCGGTAGCTTATCTGTTAGGTTTGTCTTTTTCATTGCGCAGAAGCCTCAGCAAAGACGGGCATCTTCTGTATGCTAAACGTAATCATTGTTGTTTAGCGATTTTTTGATACAAAGATGTCAAGAATGGATTGTATCAAAAAAATCGCTAAACAACAAGGATTAAGTTTAGCATTCAGAAGATGCCCGTCTTTGCTGAGGCTTCTGCGCAATGAAAAAGACGAACCTAACAGATAAGCTACCGGGGGTGTACGCTGTCCGCCTCACGGACCACAGATTTGATAGGAAATTGGTCTACGTTGGCGCTACTAAACGTGCTATTGGTGTCAGATGGACTGAGCACCAACGGGACATCCTACACAACAGAGGTTCTACATCGTTATCTTTGTATGCTCCGGACCCGAAGATCTCTGTGGACTTCGACAACGCCAAACTCCTTATTACCACACCGTTTACGGACCACCTCAAGTGGGTGGAACAAATGGAAATATGCAAAGCATACAACAATTCTGCACCCATCAATTCGAGGGATGAAATTACCCTGTCTCTAGCGTGGCAGGCCCTACTCCAAAAGGAGGATTCACATTAATAAATACGTAGAATAATTAGGGTATTAAAACATCAAACCCGCTGATATGATCTTTTATTTTTATTTAATCAAAAATGCATAAAACGCCGTTATAAAAAAAAACCGAACATTACGTAATGACTTTTGATTGAGAATACAGGAATGCACGTGATTCACTATGGTTTTTTTGAATTTCGATGTTTTAATTATGGTTCTAAAGAATTTGTTTTCAAATGTCGCAATTTAGAAGAATTTCGTTCTGCTGGTCTTCGTTTTAACGAATTTTACTGACGAATCAATGCTTGAGAAAGGACCCAGGGTGGGATCCGAAAACATTTGCGTGTAGTAGTACTCATATTTACCACAGGTTAAAGGTTCATTGAGGGATTATTTTACATTAATCTGGTGTGTGAAGATTCTTTATATCCAGTAAAAATAGAAATGTTTAAGATTTTTTGATATTAATATTTTTAATTTGTTGTTATAAACAAAACTATTTAAATATACTACAGCAATTTACTGTATAAATTACTATGGTTAGAATAAAAACATACACTACATGTATTGCATGCAGACTAACTAATATTTTTGAACTTTTCAGGGTGAAGAACAAACAGCAGGATGGATGGGTTTAACAATTGTTCTAACAGGAATGCTTGGATCTGTTGTATGTGGTTATATATTGGATTTAACACACAAATTTAAGTAAGTTTTTTTTATGCTACAAGTAGATTTATAATTCCAAAATTTTGTTGCAGCAGTTTTCTTAAAATTACTCTCTATTATACTTGAGTTTATTTATTAAAAATCTTTCAATAAAGCAGGAATCATTTATTTAAAAAACAAAGAAGTTTTCCTAATTAGAATTATCCATGTAATCAATGTTAAAAACATTCAGTTACAGAAAAATGCATTTCAAATGTTCCTCTAAAGTTTTTACATTATTCTTCAGTTTCTCCAGTGTATTAAATGGAAGAGGAATGTTCTAAAGATTTTGGAGAAACATTAGAAATGCATTTTTCTTCAACTGAGTGTTTTTAACATTGATTACATGGATAATTCTAACTAGGAAAACTTGTTTGTTTTTTAAATAAGACTCCTGTTTTAGTGTTATCCTGTCCACAGAATAAGTAACATTTTTGTTCATTTTGACATAAATCAACTTAAAGTTAAAATCAAGTATAATTGAGTGTATTTATTAAAAATTCTTTCAATAAAACATTGAAAGAATTTTTAATAAATACACTCAATTATACTTGATTTTAACTTTAAGTTGATTTATGTCAAAATGAACAAAAATGTTACTTATTCTGTGTATTAAACCTTTTTGGGAAAGTATATCTACAGTAGGTTGTTGTTTTTGACCTGTTATGGTATTTTGTTAATGAAGTTAAATCTTCCAGATGCACTTATATTTAGAAAAACATATTGCATAAAACGATTTGAAAGAAAACACATTATAACTATATTGCAAATTCAAGCATATAAATGATGAAATGGCAATAATTTTACAAAATACATAATCAAATTTTATATTTTGGAGTAAAACAGCATCATCTTATCATCATTTGTTTTTCCTTTTAGATAACATTTTTCTAAAATTGCTTTTTCGATTTAATGGTGACAGTCTGCTGGAGACATAATTTGAATCGATTCTATGAGTTTGTTTTAATGTAAAATGTGCTACGATCAGAATGATTATTAAATACTGTTAAGGTATTGTATTTTTGCGGCAGATATTACTATCAAGAAAATCTAGTGTCGAAAGTTAAAAATTAAATAATATACACATTCATTTACAAAAAAGTTACACACCAAAAAGGCATTGGAATCAAATGAAACTTTACTAGTGTAAATATAATTATGGTAATAAGTGATACAAATAGTGTGAGAATTCAGGCTAGATAGGAAAAATATATTTAAAAAAAAAGACAAAAAAAGAAGAGAAAAAAAACTCTAAAATTTGTGCATAAATGTTAAGATATATATTATATATATTTTTTCCAAACGCTTGCTAAAGATTGTAGGAAACGATTACATTTCTCCCCAGATTTGCTTCCTTTCAAAAGTGACATGAGTTCATCAGGAACCTAATACCCTAAATTTGCCTATTGGGTTAACAAAACATTACCAAAAATAGAAGTACGAATTAAGAGGGAGTACCCTCAAATAAAAGGAGGAATCGGATGACGACAGAATTCATCAGTCATCTCTAGTGTCATATTCTATCAAATTTCATTGCCTATCCAGTTCTCCACCATCCTACACTGCCGTTGATTGCTGCCTTTGTTCAGTTACCTATTTGCCAACCTGCTCAATCTAATCTACCTATCACCCAACTGGCCTAGAGTCAACCCATTGTCTGAGTCCAGAGCCTATCTACCAGATGCCCAACAAGTCACCCTACTGGTCCTGAATGGTTCATCCAGCCAAACCTCCTTTGAGATCTAACAACTTGAGTATTTATCAACTCACGATCAATTGTAAACTCTAGTGCATAATTAGACCCTTCTAAAACGACTCGCTATTATTGTCCTAGATGTATAATCCTTTGTAATAAACGGGTATTAGTTTTGTTTAACCTGTAGTAGAGTGCATTTCTTTCCATCATACTGTCTCTAAACCTCCTCCATCTCGAATCCAACTGCTTTCGCACACAACTGCTTGCAAGAAACAATGAACTAATGGCCATAACAGTTTGTGTCCCTAAAAGATGCAGTGGTATTAGTCCTGACGTAAGCGATGTTGACATGGTGCCAATCCTTCAGTCATGTGGTGCAGAAACAAGGAGTGCTTTGTGCATTTTCACAATATCATAGCAAAGGAGGAGTTTTATGTGGAAGAACAGTAAAATTTAAAAGAGCCTTTCTGAAATCTTTCACTATACAGTGGTACCTCAGGATACGAACACCCCAGCATATGAAATTTTCAGGATACGACATGAGATTCGAACATATTTTTGCTCCACGATATGAACAAAAACTCACCATACGACGTTACATTAGTTTGCAGCGCAATTTTTTATTTACTTCTGTTCATTGGTCTGTCCGCGTGTTTGCTTCATCATGGATCTTGCTCGATAAAGGAAATCTTGAGGTATTATCAGAAAGTGACTGATTTTATTGAAAAGAAACATCCCGAAAAGGTTCACACTGGCAGTATTGCTGCTCGGAGTAATGACATTTGCCTAAGTCATTTTAGAAACATTTTAAANAGAAATAGCCGAAGATTGCAGCGCCACAGCACTAGCAAAAATTTAAATTTGCCGACTGGAATGCTTTCGGATAACGGACGTTTTGGATAACGGACGTTTCGGATAACCAGCTTTCGGATAAACGACGCTCTACTGTAGTTTGAAATCAATTTGTAAAATGTCTATAGATACTACTTTAATATTTTGATTTCCAAAATAATTTACCAAAAATTGTTCTATGATTTGCTATTATAGAAGGCATGCCATCTTCTGTTAATAACTTAAATGATTTAATGTAATTCAGTTTAATTACATAAATACAGCAGGATCTTGTTTTACATGGGATTAATTTTAGCAAATAGATTAACTCTTGTGTGCACAGAGAACTCTATTAATCAGATGCTACTTTTTTGATGAAATTCATTGTGGTATAAAAACTAAAAGCAATTTTCTACAGCCTATCTTAATCAGAAGTTTATAATTCAAATGTTTAATAGTTGATAATAGTAAACCCATACAAATTGAAATTATTTATTATTAACTCTAAAATGTAATTTCAATTTTAGGTATAAATGTTGGAGTATTTTATGCCATTTCAACGTTACTTAATCAAGTAGTTCTTATTCATTTTCCGGTAAGTGTTGGTTTTTTAGAAATTGGTTATCAATAATAATATTAATCATCTAAATGAAATTGTATTTGATCAACAAAATTAAGTATCAAATTTTAGTTTAACCATATATTACACTTATAAATTTTTATAACAATATTCTATTTTTTTTCTCTTGTTTGTCATAAATCCTAGTATACCAAATTCTCTCACATTCTCTTCAGATAATTCACATAGAAAAATCTTTACAATTTTATATTTTTTTATTATAAGTGATTTTTAATTACAGTAGTGGCAATGGAAATTGCACTACCTATGATATAGACCAAAAATTATTCAACAAATGTACAAAATAGTGCATTTAATCTAATATTACAGTTTATGATGGTAACATATGTAAGACAGAGGAGAAACTAAGAAGAATAAATCAAAACAAATGCAATTTATTACATATAATACTACATCAAATGTAAAAATGCTATTCCATATTCAGGGGCGCCACTAGCTGTTTGATTGCCTGTGTGCAATACTGATTATTCTGCCCCCTGTTTAACTATGACTACCTACGCTGAGCTTGTTGGAAAGGCTCTTTAGGATTGTCATAAGGGTGTGAAAAGAAAAGAAATACTTTACAAAGAAAAACTATTTATTATTACTAAGTATTATTATTTTTGTTTACTTAAGTGTGAAACCACATAAATATTTATCTACAGAAATTGAACTCTTCTGTTTCTGTATTGTGAGTAAAAACATAAATATAGCAAAATGGTAATAAACAAAACTACAAAACTTCGAGTAATGCTCTCCAAACATGTGACATGACTACAGAAACTTCAAAGTTAATTGCATATCCTTTCTTACTAGCTTTGGAAATATTAGGAAACTCTTGAAATTTATGAGAGATCCACAATTTAAAGGTTCTGCAGTCATGTCACATGCTTGGAGAGCACTACTTGAAGTTTTTTTTTGTTTATTAACATTTTGCTATATTGCTATATTTGTTCTTACTCACAATATTTGTATATATTGCTGTATTTATTAATTTAATTTGTATTTAATATTTTTCTTGTTAATTATTTATTCCTGTTTTCTATGTTTTATTTAATATATTTTATGCTTTTGCACATGTGACACACTATGTAAATTTGTAATTTTCAAATGTTTTTAATTTCAAATATGATTCCTGTTCCATTCATTAGTTCCATTATAGAACCTGAAGATGGCAATTCAACATGGTTGAAAATATTCATTCTGTTAAATCCAGTAAAAATAAAATAATTCCTCAATAAACCTTTAACCTGTGGTAAATATGAGTACTACTACACGCAAATGTTTTCTGATCCCACCGTGGGTCCTTTCTCAAGCATTGATTCGTCAGTAAAATTCGTTAAAACGAAGACCAGCAGAACGAAATTCTTCTAAATTGCGACATTTGAAAACAAATTCTTTAGAACCATAATTAAAACATCGAAATTCAAAAAAACCATGGTGAATCACGTGCATTCCTGTATTCTCAATCAAAAGTCATTACGTAATGTTCGGTTTTTTTTTATAACGGCGTTTTATGCATTTTTGATTAAATAAAAATAAAAGATCATATCAGCGGGTTTGATGTTTTAATACCCTAATTATTCTACGTATTTATTAATGTGAATCTTCCTTTTGGAGTAGGGCCTGCCACGCTAGAGACAGGGTAATTTCATCCCTCGAATTGATGGGTGCAGAATTGTTGTATGCTTTGCATATTTCCATTTGTTCCACCCACTTGAGGTGGTCCGTAAACGGTGTGGTAATAAGGAGTTTGGTGTTGTCGAAGTCCACAGAGATCTTCGGGTCCGGAGCATACAAAGATAACGATGTAGAACCTCTGTTGTGTAGGATGTCCCGTTGGTGCTCAGTCCATCTGACACCAATAGCACGTTTAGTAGCGCCAACGTAGACCAATTTCCTATCAAATCTGTGGTCCGTGAGGCGGACAGCGTACACCCCCGGTAGCTTATCTGTTAGGTTTGTCTTTTTCATTGCGCAGAAGCCTCAGCAAAGACGGGCATCTTCTGAATGCTAANAGGATACGAACACCCCAGCATATGAAATTTTCAGGATACGACATGAGATTCGAACATATTTTTGCTCCACGATATGAACAAAAACTCACCATACGACGTTACATTAGTTTGCAGCGCAATTTTTTATTTACTTCTGTTCATTGGTCTGTCCGCGAGTTTGCTTCATCATGGATCTTGCTCGATAAAGGAAATCTTGAGGTATTATCAGAAAGTGACTGATTTTATTGAAAAGAAACATCCCGAAAAGGTTCACACTGGCAGTATTGCTGCTCGGAGTAATGACATTTGCCTAAGTCATTTTAGAAACATTTTAAAAAGTAGGCAAAGCCAAAACCTCTTTGGATAGATATTTTAAGCGACCTCTTGATAACCAGCACTTTCACTTGATAAGCGACCTCTATCAAGTGAAAGTGCTGGTGGAAGTGAAGGAAAGAAAGCAAAAAGCAGTGAATAAAAATTTTAAAAAATATATATCTATAAAACAACAGTAATTTTTTTTTCTTTTCTAAGTTATTTTTAAGTTATTGTTACATTATGTTATGTGAGTTAAGTTTTAGTATCATTTCCCTTCTCCCTCTCTTCCGCCACCAGTTTACACCTCCATGTTGTCTATCCTCAAAGATACAGTGCAAATAAAACTACATTTTTTTTTAACCAATTATTATTCTATTATGGTTATTTATACATTTACAACTACAAAATGCGTTTTTCAGTGTTTTCCTTGCTATAGTTATTATTTTTTTAATTTGAGTGTTTTTTGTGTTGGAACGAATTATTTGGTTTTTACATGTAATCGTATGGGGAAAAATGATTCACCTTACAACATTTTCATGATACAATCTCAGTTTCGGAACGGATTAATTTTGTTTCCTGAGGTACCACTGTACTGTGACTAGATACACAATTATTGAACAATGTCAGGATATCTGACATCAGTCAATTTTTTCTCCAGAATAATTGATACTCAACACTGGGATTTTAATGTATTACTATTAGAGAAAGGAAGAGACAGAAAACTAATTTGAAATTCTCTTATAAGACAAGTTTGTTTATGCTGAAGAATTTCAGGTTTTCTATATTGCATTTCCTAACTGGTATGTAACATCTAAATGTGCACTTACTGCATAATTTATGCAGTGTGTGTCTGTCCTGAAGATGGTCAGTGGGTTGATAAATACCTGTACTTCAAGTAAATTTGATGGAGTACTGATGAGTTGAAATGGAGAATAGGAAGGGATAAGAGAAAATTTAAGAGATGAAAGGATTCGATCTAATCATTGAGAATAGAACTCATCTTAGTCAATTATTCAGGTTTAACTTTGTGATTAGTTCATGGGAGAGCAGCAAGGACAAATGATTCTCTGGTTTGGTCAGATTCAACTCTTCCATTCAGAAACTCAAATGTGACTTTTCTCTCTCCATTTGACTACCCACCTCTCTCCAAAGATCTACCCACAGATACTGTTTAAAGTCCTTGTTAGTGGATAGTTAACTTTAACCTCTTGATTCAATTGGATTCTTGAACCACCAACAAAAGTTTATGGAAAGGGGGTTATCCAGGGCTTAACCCTTTTTCCATAGGAAAGTTTTTCCTCACCTTCCTCTCAGATTATATTTTTTTCAACAGAATCAATAGTCTGATTACCAATATTTATATTTTTTCAGTTTAAAGTTTCATTTGATGCAATGTAAGTTTTTCTTCTTTCTAAACAATTTTTTCCTGTTACGTGTGTAAGAACTGTGTGTGTGTGTGTAAGTATGCATGTATGTTAAACACCAATCACCAAACAATCCAGCACAGATTATCAACAACACAAGTTTAATAACATTTTCAACTACATTAAGTAGCCGTCATCAAGTACTATGTAGTTCCAAAAAAGAACAAACATTCAGAATTTAACAAAATCTAATGTAAATTTGATTGGAAGGCATCTGTGACATCAAATAAATATGGTAAACTATATAAATTCAAAACGTGATTTTCATGCATTCCTTCTGTATGAGTTTCTAACTTTTTGAAAGTTTTAATGCATGTTTTATATCAGACTTTATGGATTACAGTGCATTGTTGAACTGTACAGACACTGATTTAATGAGTATGCCATTAAGACCATTCCTCTTTATCAATGGAAGCTTGATGCCCTTTCTTATGCTTAATGACTGGATAGTTGCTCCAATATACTCTGTTCTGATTGACTCAATAGTGTTAATAAAATTTCACATTTCAAATAATTTAAAGTTTCATTACTCATTATGATATTTACAATATTGCAAATATAGTGTTAATTAATTACTGTTTTTAAATAATGTAATTAATCATGCTTGCAATGTTTTATTTGCAGAGAGACTACTATTGCTGTGTATATTCTATCACTTGTTGGAATGATATCTTTCACATTAACATTACACTTCAATTCATTAATATTGGTTTTTGTTTTATCAGCCTTATTAGGGTAAGTGAAGTAGTTTATACTTTTTATACTTTCATAAATTTCAATATCATCTTGGTAATAAATGCAGTTGATTATCTTATTATTTTTAATACTTTTTAAAATTTTCAGTTCTATAATTTTATGTATTTAAAATTTATTAATTTGATTCCCATGTATTAACTATATATAAACTACAATACAGTAGATTTGGATTAAACCCTTCCCCAATAGGGTGGGGCAGTAAGAACAATAGAAGGAGGGAAGGGCCTAAAGGGAAAATGGGCCAGCACTCTTTTTGGGGTAGACACGGAGGAGACCAGACGTGTTGAGAAGAGGCTCTTGGTCATTTTCAGCAGACAATAAGAGCATGAGAAAGTAATGTTTAAGTTGGGAACTCAGAGACAATTTTCGTAAGTATCTTTGAGGCACCTTTTGAGAGAACATCCCAAAATCGCAAAGAAGTTCTGAGAAAGAGAGAACATTAACTGAGACGAAGAAAGTTGGATCCAATCAATGTGAAAAGAGAGCATTCAAGACGATTGGGTACCCCTGTCCTAGATCTCTTCTTCCTTCCTCTACCTGTACATATATCATATTATTTTAGTCATAAGTAGGTTAAGATTAGTTTGATGTGATCCATGCTTGTGAAATCCCAAACTGTTAGGTTTGTTATTTCCGGGACGTAAGGTTTGTGACAGACCCAGTTTTATACCATGAAATTCTGTATATAATTGTATCGCAAGAAAAGGTAATTACAAGGGACTTGTCTTGGAGTTTGAACCTGCTAAAATCTTGTTCAAACACAAAATAGTTTTTCTGTGTTTTTGAAAATTATACCTCTTGTATTTCTCATTTCAATATGAACAATACCACAGTTTTTTGATGTCACATGTTTTATAGAAGTGAAAATACTGTATTTTCCATACATTTTTTACTTGCTCCCATAATGATTCTCATTATTTAATATTTATTTTTTCATAAAACAAAGAGTAAATAGAAAGATAATTAAAATATTTTTTTATGACACAGTCAAAAACTACTCTGAACTTTGATAAATTTTACTACACAATAAACTTACACCATGCCAACTTCAAACTTCCTCTTGCAACTACACACTTCTTCCAGCATCCTTCACTTGTCAAAGCAGCCTTGGAAGCCACCTTTGTGATATTTTTTAAAGAGCTTTGTTGCTGAAATGTCTACCACTGCCACTGATTGGAACCAGTAATCCTTTAACTTTTTTCATTTCAGGATATAAGTAAGTCTTTGCAGGCAAAATTTGGAGCTTGAGAAGCACTATTTTGTTTTAGCTTCTTTGTGTGATATTTATTGATCAGAGAAAACCAATGCACAGAGGCTTTATTCTAGTAGACGACTCAATTCTGAATTTCAAAAATCAAATTACTTTTGTTTTAAGCATAGTGTGGATGGCTTGAAAACTTTAACATATTTTTTTTTTTTGTCAATTTGATCTCCAAGAATAAGTTTGTTCACTCGCTGTTTCAAATGCATCATTTCTTATTCACCAATTTTCTCTGGCATTGCTAAACAAATTCAAATCTACCACATTGCTTATGAGAGAGAAAAAAAAATACAAATGATGACTATGCATTTGACTTACAGCTCTCCCAACTGTGAACTCTCACAAAATTAATATAAAAATTCAAAAGTTTGGCAAGCTGTCTATTGGCATTACTGGTAAATACATTTAAAAGCTCTTTTGACAATATATCTGTCTTCTTCAGTTAATATCATGGATGGAATGTTATAAATCTAGAAATAGAACACATTTTCTCTTTGCAAACGAGCATGGAACATAAAAATTTTAAAAATACAAAGTTATATGCCGTTACAAACTAAATGTAATATATGATGGCAATCAGGGGCACTTGTACATTGGGGCATGTGCATCCTTTGTCATCGTTTTGTTAATCACTAAGGGAGCTTTAAGGTTTCATTTTATTTTTTAAATTAATTACTTATTTTTATCACACACAACTTTTATACTGATGACAAAATTAAAATAATGAGCAGTTCTTTATTCTGACATTTTCACAATGCCAGGCTGCAATTTTTAATTAATTTAAGATATATGATCTCCACTTCAAATTAGTAGCTTTTGTACATCATACCTTCCTGTTAGCAATAGTCATGCTGATCATCTATCTAACTCAGGCATGGCCAACATATGGCCTGTCTAATGAATTTATGTGGCCCTAATATTAACTACTCAAGTCCGAATAGCTTGATGAAAAAATTCTGACTCCTAAAAAAAAGGTCAACAACTCACCGTGCGTTTACAGTTAACCCTCCATTGCAAATCTCTTAAGTACAGCGTAAAATGTTGGTAAAGCATGATGATGTGAAAAATCTATCTGTAATCTCTATGTACAATTTAGTCTCTACGGGGTGACACCACAATGAAATCTCACACCACCTCAAAATCTTCCTAGGGAAGTTCTGGTTTGGCCCGCGAAAAAAGTTGTTTCCAATTCGGCCTGGGGGCAAAAACTGTTGGCCACCCCATGATCTAACTCCTTCAGGGAAAAATTTTTGAATTGAAATAACATGACTTCTGGTTTACATCATGTTCATATATAGTTAATCAGGACCTCCTGTCCTATAGCTTTCCATATGTGATCTCAACTTTCCTTTATCTAATTTCTTTCTCCAGATTAAGGATGGACACAGCTAACAATGGGAATTTATATGTCTACAATTTTTTCAAATTGCAGCCAAAAAATATTTATCAATTGAAAATTTATTCTAATAAATTTTCAATTGATAAATATTTTTGGACTGCAATATTTCTAGAGAGGGTCATGATTGTTTGATCAAGTACAGAGGTACCACTGTAATTGATTAACACAATTTTGATATACATGGCAGCATTGAGGGCTAACTGCAGTAATTATACATATGTATGTTATAATATAATATTATATGTACTGTATATTGTGTGTGCGCATGCGTGCGTACATGCATAAACTAGCAGATGTTGTAATAAGCACGTGGTGAGGGTTGATTTTTCACAGAGACAGGTATATAAAACAAATAAGACGTGCTTTATTTTTTTCTGTGAACATATACAGGAAAGGTTCTTGTTGATTCCGACCTCCTGATTCCTTACTTCAAACAAAAGAACAAACAACACCTTTTTCGATTCACAGTCGAGCAAGAACTTTCGCGATACAAAGAGATACTTAACTTCTAACTTAAACCTACTTATATCTAAAAAGAAAAGGAAAAAGGAAAAGAAAGTTAGATTAGAACAGAGAAACAGAAATATATTTTTAGGAAGGAATGGGTACCCGAGTTGGTGATTGAGGTGGCGGCTGCTGGATGACTTCGTCTTGGGATTTTTCCTTTTGGGGACGGATCGCATGCAAGAATCGATAAAAAAAGTCCTTTATCTTTGGCTGACCAATGTCCTTATCAACGCTACTTCTTTCTTACGTGCTCTTCGTGACTCTCTCAGTCGAAGCAACACTGACCTGGAGACCTCTCTCTGACAGTCTTCCCTCTTCTAGGTCCAAAGCCAGAAGGTACTCACTTAGTCTCTCACTTGCCCTCTGGGCTATTTCTAATCCTTTGTCTCCTAATTAGGTCATCGACCACCCACACCTGGACGAAAATTCCAGAAAGTACAGACAAAGGAACACAGAACAAAGAAAGAAGGAAAGATAGAAAATCATATATATACATATATATAAAAATATAACAAAAAATATATTGGTGTACCACCACACAGATAAGCCTGGTGTTGCCCAGGCAAAAAATAACAAACATTAAGGTTATTAGATTATTTTGTACTTCTAACCCTCCCTTACATAAATCAAATATTACTGTATATTATAATTGAGAACTGGATTTTTAGGTACTAAAAAATACATTTTAGGTGCATATTATATGCTCTAAACACCTCAAAATATGCATTTCCTTTTCTACCACACATTCTTCAACACATCATCAATTCATCATGATTCATGAATATTTCATATATTTATATATACAGATACATGTATATGAAAACTAATTAAGCACCAGCTGAGTTATTGTAACATTGTTTACTTTTTCAAGTACAGTGGTACCTCGGTATACGTCTGCTTTAGAATACGTCCAAATTTGGAATACATCCTGTTTGGACGAAACAAATTTTGCTCGGTATATGACTTTTGTTCCGTATACGACTTAATTCAATTATACGCACCATCTATAATGGTGCGTATAAATAGCACTATCGGTGTACTAGACCAAAGTAGACGTTCGCAGTGCAATGGTTTATAACTTTGTTAAATTTCTTCTGATTTTAATTTGTATGTAAAATTTTATTATTTTTATTAATCACGAATTGCAAAAAAGGCAAATGAAAAGCAACAGAAAACTAAAAAAATGACTAGAATCACAATGGAACTGATAAAAGTGATTGTTGAGAAATATGAAGGTGGCATGCGTGTTCAAGATTTTAACTGTTGCACACCATATTCCGAGAGCGATGATATTGACAATCATGAAAAATAAAGACATTATTAAATCTGCTAACGTTGCGAAAGGGGTTAAATCAATTTCTAAACAGAGATCGAAGATATTAGATCATGTTGAGAAATTGCTTTTGCTTTGGATAACTGAAAAACAATGTGCTGGAGGACAGCGTATCAGAAGCAATTATTTGCGAGAAAGCTAAAAAGATACATGCTGATCTCATGAAAAATCAAGCAGGAACTAGCCAGGAAAGCGAGGTGTTTAAAGCCAGCCCTTTTATTTTTTTACATGAGAATGGGATTAATCATTTTTACATTACTTCTTATGGGAAAGGTTGGTTTGGTATACATCCAATTTGGTATAAGTCGAAGAAAATGTGACCCGCTTACACAATGTTAGAGAAGATCGGAACAAGGTTAATAAAAGTAACAAATATAAGAAGAGGAGGAAAGGAAACCATGAACAGATAAATAAACAGAGTAAAGTGTTAGAAACTATAGGCCACAGAGCAACAGTTAGAAAAAACAAAAGGAAAGATG